TTGGGAATGTCCGTTCATTTGCAAGCAGTTTGATGCCGAGGAGTTTTCCGAATTGAAATCCCAGTACCCTTGGCCTTCATTGTGGTTGAGAGGCCTGCCTCCCCTTAGTGAAGTGCGGTGGTTGAGAGGCCTGCCTCCCCTTAGTGAAGTGCGGCATCCCAAACCTGCGAGTGAGCAATGCGGCTTGCAAGTCACGGGACTATGGTCGACCCAGAGTACTTTGGAAGGCAGTCGATATGTTTTTGCTTGTGATGCTTCTGGAGGACCAGGCGGCTCGGATCAAAGGCTCCTCGTAACGACTTGGTCCATAGGAGCCTATGCCTTGGTTGATGGGCAACCAAAGAGGGTTGCGAGTGCCACGTGCTTGGAGGCGGAGCCCCTGACAGTGCCTCAGGCCGAACAGCGAGCTCTTTTTGAGTTGATGCATCGTGTCACTGGCGACTTTGATGCCACAACTGATTGCAAAAGTGTCAAGCAAATCTTGTGCAAGGCCAACCCACCGCAGGAAGGTGTTGTGCCATGGGGCACGATATGGCACGAGCGCAGTCGCATCCGCTTGCATTGGGTTTCTTCACATAAAAGTGCAGCTTACTTTGAAAAGCAGGGCTGGGAGCAGTGGAGGCGCCTCATCAACGAGGACGTTGACAAACTCTGCGGGGAAAGGGCTTCTCAGCATTTCTCGATCGCGCATGCGAAGTGGCTGAAGAAATGTGATTCCGTGGTGGAACAAGTCTGCTACTCCTTAGCGCGACGTGCTGGATTCATCATTCGGCAGAGAAAGAGCCCGGATTTCCCGTGGATTTTGAATAGGGGTGCTACTGATACTGCCCCTAAGCCCCTGGTTGTCCCTAACGCCGCCTTTGTTAAGCCCAGTCCTGCCAAACCCAAAAATGCAAAAAATCCGAAGTCCAAGAAGGGGGTTTCTGGTGATAAACCTGGTCCTGGCCCAAAAACTGGTAAGCCCTTGAACAAAAAACAACGCATGTTAGAAAAGTTGGCAATGCCTGAAGATCCTCTGGGTCACCAGTGGGTCAAAGGCGCTGAAGGACCTACCAACTTGACAATGAAATGCACCAAATGTGGACTGTACGTTCAGCAAATAGCTGACCCGGCAAGCTTCGACCGTCTCATGACACACCACTGCATTGGTGGTGGTGAGATTTTGAGCGAGTGGGGCATTCATGCAACACACAGTATGGTCAACATGGGTGTGCAGTGGTCTTGTTCCAAATGTGGGAGGCTGCAGCGCCCACAGTCGGCCGTTGGAGCGAAGCAGTTGCAGAAACCTTGTGATGGGAGAGCGGCTGTAAGCCAAATCGGTAAAGTGGCTCAAGGAGTGGGCAGCTCAACTTTGGATCAGTCGGGCCCTGCGGTGCCGAAAACTAAAGCTGCTACTCCTTTTGGGTCCATGCGTGACGCTGCTGTAACTCCTGAGGGACCAAAGCAGGCCACTTTAAGCTTTGGGCAACCGGCTGTGGTTGTGACGCCAAAAAATGCTTGCAAACCCAAAGCCAAACCAAAACAAGCACAACTGACTTTCTCTTGAAAGCCGTGCAGGGCTGGTGTGCTGCTTTTGCGCCCTACGAGGCTGCATTAGCGCTACAGTGCCTTGCATGGTGGTCCGTTCAGTGCGGCCAAGAGTGCAAACTAAATTGGTGAGCCTTCGTCCTTAAGCCTTGAAGGTGCTTGTGGCGCTATGCCTACTCACCAGACGTCTTAAGACACGCAGACTTCATTTCATGGACAAGGCAGGTCGGTGGTGTGGGCACTTGGCGTGCTCATGCGACCACCCGCTGCGCTGTGTACAGTTGGCGGTAGGCGGTAGGATATAGCTGTATATAGTGTACAAAGGCTGCTGTGGTAGTCTCCCAGGCTATGCTGCTTTCGCTTGACGACGAAACTCACCTTCAACTGAGGCCCAACTGTGAGGGCCCACTGTGCTTTGAGGGGCACGTGTGGTGGCTTGTGTGCATGATCCGTTGAATACGTCACTCCCACCACTGCCTCAGCTCCGTGGTCCAGCCTGGCTGGCTTGCGTGCAACAGCAAGACTTCACGGCCTTAGGGCTATGAAGTTTTGCTTCCGTAGCTAGGCTGTCAGATCCGTAGCTCTACTGGTAGCTTTGCTTAGCTTGTACAGTCTTGGCCTAGGAGCCGCGCTACCTCTTCGAGTGCTCGGAAAGAAAATTCCTTTTGACCTTGGATGTCCTGATGTTTTCGGCATGCCTGAAGCTGTGAGGAGTGCTTTTGAGTTAGGAAGTGACTGCACGTTCGTTTCGTCTCGTTTCGTTAGTGCTTGAAGTGTTTTGCTTGGAGACAGACAGCTGCAAGGTGTTTCACTGTCAGTCAGAGCCCGACGCGACTCCGCTTTGGCTCAAGAAAAAGACCGAGTGCTGCGCGCTCTGTTTTTCACACGAGTGGGAAAAATGCTATTTCTACTGGAAAATGTGCGCTGCGCCACAGCGGGAGACACAGAACAGAACGGTTTTAAGCGTTTTACAGTAGCGCGGCGCGCAATCATAACGTGCTTTAGGCGCGTTATGATCATTTTCGCTCGCAATTTCCAAGGAAACGTCAAAATCGCAACGTGCTTCGTGCATCAAACAAAGCTTTTTAGTCTTTTTTTGTGGCGCGCGAAGCACGTTACGATTTCGAGTTTTCCCTTGCAAATGCCAGCCAAATCAATCGTAACGCGCCTAAAGCACGTTACGATTGCGCCCCGCGCTACTGGAAAATGCCCGATTTCGCTATCACACAAGCCTGGAACTGTGGAAACAGTGCGATTTCTACGCAAGATGCTGCGAGCAGAGCTGGACCTGTGAAAAATACTGCAACTTTGATGGACGATGTACTAAAGAATACCACAATTTCGCTGTCAAACATGCCTGGAAAGCGAGCCGGGACCGCCGTGCAGATTGTTTTTGGGCTCTGAGGCAAATAAACCGGAAGTGAAAGCATTAGACGTGTTTCTGCGTGGTTTTACCCAAGACTGAGACCAAGAGACCTTCCGTGTGGGCTCCGAGGCTTACAAACCGGAAAGGAAAGCATCAGACGTGTTTCTGCATGGTCTTCGCCCAAAGAAATGGGACCAAGAGACCTTTCTGGTAAGCTCCGAGGCTTACAAACCGGAAGTGAAAGCATCGGACGTGTTTCTGTGTGGTCTTCACCCAAAATGGGACCAAGAGACCTTTACGGTGGGCTCTAAGGCATAGAAGCCGGAAGTGAAAACATCATCAGACGTTTCTCTGTGCGGTCTTCACACTAAAGTGACACCAAGAAACCTTCGACTTTGTCTTCGCGCAATGTCGGAAATATTGCGCAAGGGACTGCGGGGGATGCACGGTTGGAGTGAGTGTGTGAGGGAGTTTGGGAGTCAAGAAGTGGTTTGGGTGAGCGTGTGAGTGAATGCGCAAGTCACGGAGTGTCTAATGTTGTCTCCTGATTATTAAACCCCCCTCAACCCCAATAATAACGGAGGGTCCGCCTCTCTGATCTTTAGTTGTTTGGGGGACCGGGGTCGAAGTTGTTTGGGACCCGGGGCTCTCAGTAGTACTCAGTAGTAGCAGTAGTACAGTAGTACAGTAGTACTGTCTCCTTTATCTTGCCTGTTTCTGTCTTTCCTCTTCCAGGGCGTCACTTTGTAGTAGGAGTGCTTCTCTGCCTAAACCTTATAAAAATTTTACACCTGGACGGGTTTTAGGACTATTGAGGGGTGTTTATTATTACGTGCAGGCCGAGTTTAGCTCTATTGAGGGGACCTTTTATTATTGAGTTCCGGGCCGAGTTTAGCTCTATTGAGGGGGCCTTTAAAAATCACGAGCTCACATTATCTGCGATTGCTGCAATATGAGATTTGAGACCAGTTCTCTGCAGCCGCCCCCCAGTGCAAACATAACGTGCGCGCGGCCGTTCAACGTGTAGACGTGTAGAAGTTTCTTGGACTTCGGCTATCTTGCTTCCGAGGGCCGTGACGCACTTTCAGAACTTTCAGTCTCTTTCTTTCCTTCAACATTGAAGGGCGTCCAGCACGTTACGATCTTCAGTTTCCCGTTGAAACTTTCGGAGTTTCGGATGGCTGAATGAGTGGCAGCCGCACAGCTCCGCAGTGTACGGAAAGCCCTGACGAAAGCACGTGCAAGAGCTTTGGTCGGACACTCAATATTGTCCTTTGGAGTTGGCGTTGTCTGGCATGGTTATCCTTTGAGGTGCCATGCCGCCGAAAGCGAAGGCTAAAGCCAAAGGCCAAAGGAGCATGCCTGGCATGCTTCCCATTGAGCCGGGATGTGTCCCCTGTTTTGGGGTCCGAAAACTGGGTATGGTTTGGAGTCCGTGGGGGGTGGCCTCCCTAGTTGCAGCTGCGATTGGTTAGACAGTTAGACTACATGTAGCGGGTTTTCAATTTCACCGTTGAAATCGAATGTGTGTTCAAGAGAAGCAGGAATTGGGTGCTTCACCTTGGAGTTGTCCAGGTGCATCTTGCGAATGACTGGTGGACGGTATTTCTCAACCTGCGTCAGATTTTGTGACTCCAAGAACGAGCTTGAGAGTGGTTTTCCGGCACCAAAATGCGGGCCCAAAAATGGGCCCGTTTTCTAAGCCTTCCTTAATTGTGCCAATACTAGAAGGCTCCAGAAACGGGCCCGAATTCCGGGCCCATTTTTGGGCCCCGCTTTTTTACACTTTCTGAACACAGTTTGTGACAAAATGCCAGCAAGCAAGTATTGCTGTGAAGGCTACAATCTTTCACAGTTTCGCTTTCTTTTTTACGCAGTCAACATGACAGCTTGAGCTGCTGCAGGTTTCAGAGACAACGACAACAACGCTGTTGTGCAGCTATGCAATTGAGCAAGCGAAGCATGATAATCCGGCACTGGGGAGGCCCACTTTGAAAGGCGCCGTTTTTGAGCAGGTTTTGGGTCCCAAAAGTGGCCCCGAAGCTTTTGCTGGTGAACCTATTTTTTCTATGCCGTGTTTGCGACAGTTGTCAAGCCAGGCGGTGCTTGCCGAGCACGCCAGCAGTCCGGCTTTGGGGCTCTCGACATTTCGCAGCAGGGTCCAGAGTGCTGCCCACATTGTGTTGTTTATCGCGAATTCGGTTTCTCCGAACAATAGAACCACCAGGCGAGTGGGAAAAATGCTATTTCTACTGGAAAATGTGCGCTGCGCCACAGCGGGAGACACAGAACAGAACGGTTTTAAGCGTTTTACAGTAGCGCGGCGCGCAATCATAACGTGCTTTAGGCGCGTTATGATCATTTTCGCTGGCAATTTCCAAGGAAACGTCAAAATCGTAACGTGCTTCGTGCGTCAAACAAAGCTCTTTAGTCTTTTTTTGTGGCGCGCGAAGCACGTTACGATTTCGAGTTTTCCCTTGCAAATGCCAGCCAAATCAATCGTAACGCGCCTAAAGCACGTTACGATTGCGCCCCGCGCTACTGGAAAATGCCCGATTTCGCTATCACACAAGCCTGGAACTGTGGAAACAGTGCGATTTCTACGCAAGATGCTGCGAGAGCAGGGCTGGACCTGTGAAAAATACTGCAACTTTGATGGACGATGTGCTAAAGAATACCACAATTTCGCTGTCAAACATGCCTGGGACCAGAAGCGAGCCGGGACCGCCGTGCAGATTGTTTTTGGGCTCCGAGGCAAATAAACCGGAAGTGAAAGCATCAGACGTGTTTCTGCGTGGTTTTCACCCAAGACTGAGACCAAGAGACCTTCCGTGTGGGCTCCGAGGCTTACAAACCGGAAAGGAAAGCATCAGACGTGTTTCTGCATGGTCTTCGCCCAAAGAAATGGGACCAAGAGACCTTTCTGGTAAGCTCCGAGGCTTACAAACCGGAAGTGAAAGCATCGGACGTGTTTCTGTGTGGTCTTCACCCAAAATGGGACCAAGAGACCTTTACGGTGGGCTCTAAGGCATAGAAGCCGGAAGTGAAAACATCATCAGACGTTTCTCTGTGCGGTCTTCACACTAAAGTGACACCAAGAAACCTTCGACTTTGTCTTCGCGCAATGTCGGAAATATTGCGCAAGGGACTGCGGGGGATGCACGGTTGGAGTGAGTGTGTGAGGGAGTTTGGGAGTCAAGAAGTGGTTTGGGTGAGCGTGTGAGTGAATGCGCAAGTCACGGAGTGTCTAATGTTGTCTCCTGATTATTAAACCCCCCCTCAACCCCAATAATAACGGAGGGTCCGCCTCTCTGATCTTTAGTTGTTTGGGGGACCGGGGTCGAAGTTGTTTGGGACCCGGGGCTCTCAGTAGTACTCAGTAGTAGTACAGTAGTACAGTAGTACAGTAGTACTCCTTTATCTTGCCTGTTTCTGTCTTTCCTCTTCCAGGGCGTCACTTTGTAGTAGGAGTGCTTCTCTGCCTAAACCTTATAAAAATTTTACACCTGGACGGGTTTTAGGACTATTGAGGGGTGTTTATTATTACGTGCAGGCCGAGTTTAGCTCTATTGAGGGGACCTTTTATTATTGAGTTCCGGGCCGAGTTTAGCTCTATTGAGGGGGCCTTTAAAAATCACGAGCTCACATTATCTGCGATTGCTGCAATATGAGATTTGAGACCAGTTCTCTGCAGCCGCCCCCCAGTGCAAA